AAAGGAAACCGCATGCTAAAATCATCTCTCCATAAACACTCGCCACGTGTAAAACAAGATGGTACGTACCTGATGGAAGCCTGGCTCTTTGGTGAGTGGGACCCCGATCTCGGTAATGCAAGCCCAAATGCGTTGATCGGAGCCGTAGAAATAGTAGTACCGGTTAATACAACCGTCCAATACTTTGACTAATTTCTCTGCCAAAGGGTAACTCACAGCGAAACCTCCGCCGCCGAACGCCATGTCGTATGCATGCATTACGTTCTGCTCGACGCTCTCCGAAATACCGCCGATGTACCACATTTCACGGTGATCATATCTTTATCAAATAAAACTAAAACATTATATATGTTTTTTTTAAAAATATTTAAATGATTAAAATAGAATCATAAGAATAATAGCGATTAAATTCGTAGTTTAAATTATATTTTAATTTTTTTTAAAAAGCGAATATAAAAAATAAAAGGTGAAAATGATAGTGTACCTTGCTAAGACAGAAACCAAGTTACGAGTGAAGAACACCGTATCGTCGTCGCCCATCACGAACCACCGCACATTCGGTAGCTTCAAATTGAAACTATCCAATATTATCCGGGCGATCCGAACCGCGGGTCTAGAACTCGAATACATAAACCGTTTCCATTCCGGGCTCGATACCCGATACGGCAACGAATCACCGCCGTTACCCGTTTTCTTCTCGTCGGGCGGGTTCTCGTCTAGCCAGAAGTATCCACGAGTGGATTCCACGTCCCACCAGAGCGAACTCAAAGCGCGTCGCTCTTCCCAAGTCTTGGCCGACCCGCCGATGCCGAACAAGAGATGGGAGATATTAGTCGGGGAATTATCGGGCGGTGGACCGGAATTGGAACTTGTTTCAACGTTCGGGTAAGTGAACCGGACGAACGAGTGAGGTCGGTTCGAGAAGGAGATGTAAACGACGAGGGTAATGGAGGTGAACAGACAGAGTAGGAGAGCGGCTCGGGAGACGAGTGCGGACATGTCGCGGGGCTTCTCCGGCGAGATGAAAAACGCCGTCGTTTTGAGAAGGTCTGTCCTTGGACTCATCTTCTTTAAACAGAAACTGTTAAAAGGAAACTTGGGAATTGCCGTCTGAGAATCGGAATAATTTTGGACGAATTTTCGATGAATTTAAGGAAAATGGAATAAATGGTAAGCTATGGGGTTTTGATTTTCAGTGAATTTGTGAATCTGTGGAACCTCGTACGTGTGCTGTTAAGCAAGACAGCTCGGTTGAGACATGTTGGGCCGATTCTGTTATGTTATTTCCCTGATTTTGCCCATTTATAGGTTTAGCCTAACGGCACAGCCCAATTATGGGTAGCACCAGTACAAGACAGATGTTCTAACCGAACGTCGTAAATGTTGAAACTTAAATTTTAAAATTGCTTATAATTAAGAATATTGTCAACTAAACTATAATACTAAACTATAATTCTATAGTATTTGAGATTATGAATTTTTAGTTACCAGTGACAATATAGAATTAGATCGGTTTGCTTTTAAAAAAAGAATTAGATCGATTTGCTTTTTTTTTAAAAAAAAATTAGATCGGTTTGTAAGTCGGATCTAATTTAATTCGATTTGATCAGATTATTCATTCTACTCGATATTTATATACATTTTTTTAAATCCAATCTAAATTCAAATGGTTAAAAGGGTTCTTGATGGCTAAATGATGGTTGTTATTATTAAAGTTCTCGAGTTCGAGCATGATGTCAAGAGTGTTTAAGCTATTACTATCAAATGATTGAGAGCCTTTCGAATATATATTACACCCTGTGTTCACCCCATACAAAGAGTCCCTAAATTATAATTCTCATTTTAAATCAATCTTTAAACTTTAAAATATTATACATTCATACTTAAATTATAACATTCATTTTAAATTGTTCACCAAATTTTAAAACATTCAATATTAATCATTATCAAATGGTTGATAGCCTTTCGAAGATATATTACACCCTGTATTCACCCCATACAAAGAGTCCCTGAATTATAATTCTCATTCTAAATCAGTTTTAAAACTTTAAAATATTATATATTCATTCTTAAATTATGACCTTAATTTTAAATTGTTCTCCAAATTTTAAAACATTCAATATTAATCTTTAAATTATTAGTATCATTCCATTGTAATCTGGCTATTGACATATCTTTAATTTTATTGATTTTGAAGGTTCTCAAAACTATACTCGTAACCTTCAAAAAAAAAATACGTTTTTGAAGGTCTTAAAAGTTGAATCCTTAACCTTCTAAAAGTTTAATCTATTTTTCAAAGGGTTTGATAATTATTTAGAATGTCGTACGTTCAGTTCTCATGACCTTTAAAAATATATTAAATATATTTAACGAGTAGAGTTAACGATACATTAACGAACCTACAATCAGTTGGTCTAGTGGGATGAGACATTAGATCCCTTAAGCAAGATCTAGGGTTCGAATCTTGACGTTTGGGAATGGAGCGAATTGGGTTGGGAGGGTCACTCTCGCCTCTACAGTACTCGATCCGAATTAATTGATCAGTAGATCAGACACCGGTGGTTATACAAAAAAAACGATACGTTAACGAAAGGATCCAAATGGAATAAAATTGATAGTTTAGGATTAATATAGAATACTTTAAAATTTAGAGACCAGTTTAGAAAGGGTCATAGTTTAATAATTGATATAAAATATTTAAAGTTTAAGAATCAATTTAAAATAACGGTCATAATTTGGGGACATCCTATGTAAATATCTATATTAAACTGATAGTAGGTCACTAGTTTAGAATTTTTAATAGTTTGTATTGATTATTTGCATTAAAACGCGGAGCTTATTGATCAAAATATTAGCTTGTTTCAAAGCATTAAATTTTAAATAATTATTTGGATTAATATTTTAAATAAATTAAATTACGAGAGATGGAATTTTAATTATTTAAATTAAAACTTTAACTATATAGAGTTTTCAAATATTTTCATTAAAAATAGTTTAATATTATTAAGTTTTGGAATTGAACAATCTTGACTAAGCTACCGAAAATTAATTAAGAAATCATGAAGATGAAGATGTGTATGTTGGAATTATTTGGGCATTGGCTATGCATTAAAAGGAATCATTTCTTGGCAAGTTGTATCAATTTATATATAATATGCATGCTCATTATATTTTAGAACAAAAGCTTTGCCTATGGCCTGTATAGGAAATGACATAAGAGCTTGAAGAAGGTCCATATCTCATGCACACACACACATATATGTATATATATATATATATATATATATATATATATATATATATATATTATTACACAAGTATAATTAGAATAGAAAACAAAGGTCTATCTATGGTTTTATATATATAATATGCATGAGATATGGACCTTCTTCAAGCTCTTATGTCATTTCCTATACAGGCCATAGGCAAAGCTTTTGTTATAAAATATAATGCAAGAAACCCAAATTTCAATTTACTATAATTATATAACATGCAGATAATTGAGTACAAATTGAAGCCATAACTTCACATATATTATCGAACGTTTAAAATTTAAATTCTAACATTTACATTTACTTTCTTACCACTTGAAAAGAATTGTTCTCTCACATTGTAAATGCGGTTCTCTAATAAATTCCATTGTTTCCTTTGTTGTTGCTATATTTTCTTAATTTAGATTCGATTATAAATTTTGGAAAAATCCCAAGAGATATTTGATGTGTAAAATAAAATTTTGTTTCGAGGAATATATTATAAACATGTTTTGTTTCTTAGCATGTTGTTTGAAGAACATAACCAAATCTTTATGTATGTATGTTTCTCGCACAATCATTTGACCGATAAAACTGTTAAATTGGTTTTTGTATTATTCTTTGTCATTAGTTTCAAGGATTTATTTAAAAATTAACAAATCTCATATATATATACTTTATTTCATTTTTACTTTTTAGTAGATAAAATGAAACAAAAAGAAAATTACAAAAGGGGTCAATGAAATAAAATATTGAGTGAATTAAATAAATTAGATTTTTTTTCTGTAATTTTAACCTTGTTTTATCAATATATATGTATAAAATTATAAATTAATAGTGAATCACAAGCTGACAGTTCACTAAAACTAAAACCTTGGTTCTTGATTTTTTTTTTTTTTGAGTCAATTTGCTTTTTATATCGCTCTTAATTTTGAGATGAGACGAATTGAGCCATGATCAGATTATGACCAATATGATTGTGATAGCGTTTGATGATTCACCATTTTCGATTTGGATGAAGAACCGTAAATGGTGATTTTATAAATGTAAAAGGGGAGATAAAGAGGCTGAATAAGATGATGAACAATAGTCTTATAATTAGAGAGATCTCCTTCAGCTTTACATGGAAATTTTATTCGGGCCCTTAATATTGGTGTAAGGCTTAAAGTGATAATGGTTATTTTACAAGTCAGCATGATGAGTGGACATGGACGCTATATAATAGATTTAGCAGAGATGAAATTGACAAACTGTAGATGCTCGGAGGATTAGTGGCGGAAGTGTGGTTTAGAGAGAATGGGGTTACTTCAAACAAAGACTCAGTCGGATAATTTTGTTAAAAACCCTAATAGTTCATCTATTGAAAATATAGAAGAAAGGGGTTGCTTCCACACAGGTGGATCAATCTCCAAGAATTACTAAACAATGGGCCCTTTTTGAAGAAATTGCCAAACTAATACATAACAACAACGACTGTGCATCAAATCTGCTAAAAAACAATTGAATAGCTTCACTGGATGTGCCAAAGCAAAGCAGGAAGAGAAATAAATTAGGGAAAATAAGACTTTTTCATCTTAGCATTTTTCGAGAAACTTTCTTCTTAGATTCTCATGTAGTTTTCAATGTATTCAATGTCAATAGGGTTGAATTAACCCTCTACTTCTATATAAACCCTATCTTCTTCAACCCCCCATGCACCATTGTTTGTTCTTGAAACAAATGTTTTTGAAACCCCATTGTGAAGTGCCAATGAAGTGTTTAAGTGATTCATCATGGGAAGAGAAAGCATTTGCAGAAGATGCAGCGAGGTGTTCGAGGGGATACGTATGGCCTCCTCGGTCATACTCCTGCACTTTTTGCGGTCGAGAATTCAGGTCGGCTCAAGCGCTCGGCGGGCATATGAATGTTCATAGAAGAGATAGAGCTAAGCTCAAACAATCCATTTATGATCATCATTCCATTGATGATCATTCTACTGCGAAAAGGTCTTTCGGTGATATGATTTCAGGTTCTGTTGAAACCAGTTTGTCTGTCGGATTGAGCAGTGCTTCTGTCTTGTTCCAAAACCAACAGACTGCGGGTTGTTGTAATAAGGAAGCAGTCGACAACAAACGACCAAAGGTCGCTGTTTCAGCATGGCGATATTCTCCTCTCCAATGGCGGGTTCTTGAACTTAAGCCTGCAGGCTCCATTGAAGGGTTGGACCTTGAGCTCAGGCTCGGTGTTCTATAATGGACGATTTTGTCTAACTTCGATTTTTCTTTTCCATTTATGTCAGTTCTTTAATATTATCCGTGGAAATGATCATAACAGTTCAATTATATTTAAGATGAAATTCCGATTTCATATGCATCAAACCATGAATTATTACACTATTTTAACAGTTTTCCATCCCCATGAATTCTGAAAAGAAACTATAAGAGTCCAAAATCTTCACCTAACACACAATGGAACCAAGTTGAATAATTTATACACCCAAACTATATATTACTAGTGATATTCTTTTGGGTTTGAACTCAGGGCTAGTATGTTTAAAATATAAGAAAATGGGTTTAATTGAAAAAAATATCCTCAAATTATTATCTAAATTTAGGTTGATTCTTGAATTTTAGAATATTTTAATTGAGTTTTTAATGTATCATACTAACAAGACACTTCCAATAACCTAACTATCATTTCAGGCATTAAATGCTAGTTTGGATTTGACATAGAGCATTTTCATAACATGCGAGTCAAATTGTACATACATATACGCTTATTGTATGTACAACTTAAATCTGAAATATTAAAAAAAATATTTGTAATTAAATCTGACATATATGCTCTTTCTTGACAAGTTACATCCAAGCAATTCAAGTGGTAATACACATGTATTTGTAATTTAACCTATATGTTATACGGTATTTGAGTTGACATTTAACATCTGAATTAAAGTTGAATAGAAACCATTACAAGTTAACATAATGATAAAATTACAATACCCTGGAAATATGATTCTCTCAATTCCGACCTCTTAATATAATTTTCTAGTTTTGTACCTAACGACGAGGTTGACAAAAGGACTAAATTGATGACATTTATACTTTAAGAAATCAATTAAAAAGGCTTTGAAGTTTAAGGATAAATTTAGATTTTGCTCCATAGTTTATGGACGTCCGATTTAATTAACCATATTGTTTTGTATAAAATCTTTTAATCGAAAGATACAAACGGCACGAAACAACTAAAAAAACAGTTTAGTATTACTATTTCCTCAACAAACCAAACCAATAATCCTAAAGACACAAAAAATATTCTAAAAAACAACGAAAGAACATTATAATCTGCCCTAAGCTACAAAGATAGGTTTTTATAGCCATTAATGAGCTAAGTCCTCCTTGTGACACCGACGGATCCTCCATGATACACGGCGGAGGTCACTGAGTCATCCGTGGTTGTTTTTTCCAACGTTTAACTTGATAAGGAAAACAGATGAAACATCACTGTTCCACTTAATTTAAATAATAAATAAAGACAGTGGCATTGATAATGCATGTTGCAGGGGGATTTATGCCATCACCCAACAAAAAATCTTCCTGTTCTGATTGGTTTTCTTACATGTTTTTGGGGTTTCTTGGTTTTGTGACAGAGGATTTTTAAAGACAGACATAAGGGGGTTGATTTAGCGTTTCCATGGCAATGGCAAAGATGCACATGGGGGGGGTGACATAGGAGAATGATCTGTCTGGTTTTTAAGTTGCTTTCGGAATATTCATTAATGGCAGAATTCCTCTTTTGGAAACTGAACTGTATGGCTTGAGAAATTGGATCTTTGGTGTTGGATTATTGCAACGTCTTACTTGTCAATATTGTGAGGACCATTTGACAAGAAGTCAACTAATTACTTTCATATCCATATATAGAGGTAGAATTTGGTTTGATTTTAAAATTTGATATATTTGTACCATGTAACACCCTAAAATTTAATTAAAACAGAATTGAGGACCAAATTATAAATTTTTAAAAGTTTGTAGCTCGGTTTTGGAACTTGTGGGAAGTTCAGGAACTTAACCTGAATTTATCTTTTTTATGTTAAGTGAAAAATAAACCCTGGGTCTAGCAAGCAAAACCCAAAAATTATCCCCAAATTATTTACCCTAATTTTCGCCCACCCCGTTGGCCTCGTAGTCCGACCACCGTTCGACCCTCTACTACTACCGTTCGACTCGTCGTCGACCGACGACCAAGACCCAAGCCCCGTTGCATCGTGAATCAACGTCAATTGGTGCGAATTGATGCTTGAAGCTCCGTCGAATCCCTACCCCCGTCACTATGATTTTTGCGAAATACGGCCGCCTTGCTTCTCCCCTCACCTCACCGCCTGCACCACCGGACTCCCCTTATCCGTGAGCCCAAAATCAAGCCCGTGGGTCACCGTATTGTCGTCGTTTCTACCACCGACCATCGTTAGGTAAATTCGGTTCTATTTCCGGTTATTTGGTATGGTTGATGGCTATTTTTGGGTGAAACTTTTGGTTGCATATGATGTGTTGATGCACCAGAATAATCGACCGATCGACCCACCCCTTACTGTCGTCTCACGTGTCACCATTCACCTTCGTGTGCGGGTGGCGCTACTTCCCCTGCCTTGGAAACCTTCTAAAACAGGTCCAGTCAATCTAGACCGACCCGACTCGGTCTGAATCGAGTCAGTTTTACTTGAACCGATTCAACCCGACTCGAACTAAGTCAATCCGACCTGAACTTAGTCAATCGGACCTGACCCGTTGACTTTGGCCATATTTGACAGTTGACTTTGACCATATTTGACAGTTGACTTTGACCAAAAAGTCATATATTTTTTTTTGTTTTTGACATCCTAAGTCCGAATCCAAAGTCTGTTTTGGTAAATTCACACTCGGTAAGTCAGTTTTCAGTGTTTTATCTTTGGATTCAAATTGGTTTTTCGATTAAGTTCAGTTTCTGAAGTAAGTTTGTTTGCTATGTATCCGAGAAATTATTGGACGTTGGATTCAAGTTCGAGAGTGATTGAATGGAGTTTAAATGTTCGATCGGTGGAGCACAGAAATCGAGGTAATACTTTACTACCTCTTTGCATGTTTTATAGAACATGTTGATAATGGATAAATGCATTGATGTATATGATTGGTTTATTATGCATGTTTGGTTATGGATGAACTCGAACCGAATACGGTTTAAGTGATAAATTGGTTAAAACTCGATTGAATTACATAAAGAAATTTGAAGACTAATAAGAAATGAGTTCAAGAATAGTGATTAGTCTAAAGAGCTAATAACCTCATAATATCTAAATTCTATTTATCATCGATAAAAGCTTTAATACTGAAATTACCTTAGTATAAAATTACAAAATTTCCCCTATGAGGTAAAAATGGCCCGGACTAACTTGAGAGCGAAAGTACCTTGAGAATTTGTACTTTTAATTTAATAAATCACTGTTTCATCTGTTAAATTCTCGATCTGCTCGGATAATCACTGATAATCAGAACCTAACATTCGAGAAGGTACAAGACATATAATTGTTGATTTATCAGCAAGCACCTAAAGATTAAAATATTGGAAGTATTATTCATGTTTGAATTATTCAAAAAAATTGAATTAAATGGAAAGACTGGACGGAAGGAAATAGCGGGAAAACCCTTGAATTATAATTTGCCTAAAATTCCCTTGCATTGCAAAAAGACCAAGACTACCCTTAAAAGCGAAAAAAAACGTTGAACATATATATTTGACCAAATTACAAAGAAATACACATATGTTTGGATGATCATAATTACCAAAATGTCCAAGCTACGAAATAACTAAAATAACCTTCAATGTTCAAATGACCAAAATACCATAAACTCTAAAGAAACCAGAATACCTTGAAGTCTAAGATGATCGAATTAACATCGATTGTTAAAGCGGCTTATTTTTCTAACGACTTAAAATAAGTGGGTATTGTTGCAATTTATGAATAAATTAAACACCACCAAAATATTTGTTCATCATGTGAAGATCTGGTCGATGTTGACTATAAAGGAGGTTTGTTCAACTAGTGCAATCAGTACTGGGAGGGAATACATGTTCATCTTCTTAAGATTTATTCAACGATGATTCAAAAGATTATCAATTCGGCTAATGATGTCAGTATTAAAGTGTGAATATCCTTGAAGTGCATTGGTTTGACTAGTTGGCAGGTATCACAGTGCTGAGATTTGTTCAGTTCGAGTTGACTCGATATCCTGGTAAATCGAAATAAATCTTAAATACAATGAATCATTGTTTCATTCTTATTAGATTAAATTACTAAGAATTCTCCAAGAACCAAATGTCCAAAATGCCTTTGATTTCATGAATAATGGAATCACTTATGTCATACCTAAAATCTCAAGTAACTCTGATGCAAAATATTCTGAACACCTTCGTAATTAATTAGTGTTATAACACCCCTAATCCGTACTCGACCCGAATACGAGTCTGAGGTGTCACATTGCCTTTTCAAACTTTGACTCTGAATAAAATTCAAAGAAAATTTAAAACTTTCATTAAAATAAAAGCGGTTTATTTACATAAATTGACCAAAATAACCAAAATCGATCAGAACATATTCAACTCAATCAATTAGTACATGCCAACTATATTCAAATTAACCAAACATATTTAATCATCTATTTTCTGATCTGAAATCTTTGTAAGAGAGATGTTGACTTGTTTTGCTCTTCTTCACTTTTCTTCTCACTTCTGTAACCTACGTGCGAAACAATCACACGCTAAGTCTATGACTTAGTGAGGCAATTAAATATATAATGTAAACTATAACTTGTAATCATGCATGAACTATTACTGCTATCACTCATACCCTTACTCATGTAACAAATCCCTATAACACATATGCAATATATCATTATTATTTATCTCACTTCGTACATATTCTCTTATACCTAGCATTTTAACCAACATTTTACTCATTTAATCATACAATCCACATTTAATCATATAAATCATATAATACAATTCATAGCATAAAAGCATACAAGTCATATGTAATATGTTTGTTGTTATTTCTTTATTAGCCCATGTACACATGTAAGAACTATAGATATGTGAGTCTATAGAGGTTGTGCACAAATGCTGTCACCACAGCTCGTATAAATATACCTAAGTGCCACGTAGAATTGCACTGAAGTGCCGCGTAGAATTGCATCGAAGTGCCATATAAAATGTCCCTA